AGCAAATACTGTAAATACTATAAATACTGTAAATACAGCAAATACTATAAATACTGTAAATACTATAAATACTATAAATACAGCAAATACTATAAATACTGTAAATACTATAAATACTGTAAATACAGCAAATACTATAAATACTATAAATACAGCAAATACTGTAAATACAGTAAATACTGTAAATACAGTAAATACAGCAAATACTGTAAATACAGTAAATACAGCAAATACTGTAAATACAGTAAATACTATAAATACTATAAATACTGTGAATACAGCAAATACTATAAATACTGTAAATACAGCAAATACTATAAATACTGTAAATACTATAAATACAGCAAATACTATAAATACAGTAAATACTATAAATACTGTAAATACTGTAAATACAGCAAATACTGTAAATACTGTAAATACAGTAAATACAGCAAATACTATAAATACAGTAAATACTATAAATACTGTAAATACTATAAATACAGCAAATACTGTAAATACAGCAAATACTGTAAATACTGTAAATACAGCAAATACTATAAATACAGCAAATACTATAAATACTGTAAATACAGTAAATACTATAAATACTATAAATACTGTAAATACAGCAAATACTATAAATACTGTAAATACTATAAATACAGCAAATACTATAAATACTGTAAATACTATAAATACTGTAAATACAGCAAATACTGTAAATACAGTAAATACTATAAATACTATAAATACTGTAAATACAGCAAATACTATAAATACTGTAAATACAGCAAATACTATAAATACTGTAAATATAGTAAATACTGTAAATACAGTAAATATAGTAATTACTATAAATACTATAAATACTGTAAATACTATAAATACAGTAAATATAGTAAATACTATAAATACTATAAATACTGTAAATACTATAAATACTGTAAATACAGTAAATACTGTAAATACAGTAAATACTATAAATACTGTAAATACAGCAAATACTATAAATACTGTAAATACTATAAATACAGCAAATACTATAAATACTGTAAATACTATAAATACTATAAATACAGCAAATACTATAAATACAGCAAATACTATAAATACAGCAAATACTATAAATACTATAAATACTGTAAATACAGCAAATACTATAAATACTGTAAATACAGCAAATACTATAAATACTGTAAATATAGTAAATACTGTAAATACTGTAAATATAGTAAATACTGTAATTACAGCAAATACTATAAATACAGTAAATATAGTAAGTACTGTAAATACAGCAAATACTATAAATACTATAAATACAGTAAATATAGTAAATACTGTAAATACAGCAAATACTATAAATACAGTAAATATAGTAAGTACTGTAAATACAGCAAATACTATAAATACTATAAATACAGCAAATACAGTAAATACTATAAATACTGTAAATACAGCAAATACTATAAATACTATAAATACAGCAAATACTATAAATACTGTAAATACAGTAAATACTATAAATACTATAAATACAGCAAATACTATAAATACTGTAAATATAGTAAATACTGTAAATACAGTAAATATAGTAAATACTGTAAATACAGCAAATACTATAAATACAGTAAATATAGTAAATACTGTAAATACAGCAAATACTATAAATACAGTAAATATAGTAAGTACTGTAAATACAGCAAATACTATAAATACTGTAAATACTATAAATACAGCAAATACTATAAATACAGCAAATACTATAAATACTGTAAATACTATAAATACTGTAAATACAGCAAAGACTATAAATACTGTAAATACAGCAAATACTGTAAATACAGTAAATACTATAAATACTATAAATACAGCAAATACTATAAATACTGTAAATACAGTAAATACTATAAATACTATAAATACAGCAAATACTATAAATACTGTAAATACAGCAAATACTATAAATACTATAAATACAGCAAATACTATAAATACTGTAAATATAGTAAATACTGTAAATACAGTAAATATAGTAAATACTATAAATACTGTAAATACAGTAAATACTATAAATACTATAAATACTGTAAATACAGCAAATACTATAAATACTGTAAATATAGCAAATACTGTAAATACAGTAAATATAGTAAGTACTGTAAATACAGCAAATACTATAAATACTATAAATACAGTAAATATAGTAAATACAGTAAATACAGTAAATATAGTAAATACTATAAATACAGTAAATATAGTAAATACTATAAATACAGTAAATATAGTAAATATTATAAATATAGTAAATATTATAAATACAGTAAATATAGTAAGTACTATAAATACAGTAAATATAGTAAATATTATAAATACATTAAATATAGTAAATACTATAAATACAGTAAATACTATAAATACAGTAAATATAGTAAATATTATAAATACAGTAAACATAGTAAGTACTACAAATACAGTAAATATAGTAAATATTATAAATACATTAAATATAGTAAATACTATAAATACAGTAAATATGGTAAATATTATAAATACATTAAATATTGTAAATACTATAAATACAGTAAATACTATAAATACAGTAAATAAATATAGTAAATACTATAAATACTATAAATACAGTAAATATAGTAAATACTATAAATACAGTAAATACTATAAATACAGTAAATACTATAAATACTATAAATACAGTAAATACTATAAATACAGTAAATACTATAAATATTATAAATACAGTAAATACAGTAAATACTATAAATACAGTAAATACTATAAATACAGTAAATACAGTAAATACAGTAAATATAGTAAATACTATAAATACAGTAAATATAGTAAGTACTATAAATACAGTAAATACTATAAATACTATAAATACAGTAAATACTATAAATACAGTAAATACTATAAATACTATAAATACAGTTAATATTATAAATACAGTAAATACAGTAAATACTATAAATACAGTAAATACTATAAATACAGTAAATATAGTAAATACTATAAATACAGTAAATATAGTAAGTACTATAAATACAGTAAATACTATAAATACAATAAATACAGTAAATACAATAAATACAGTAAATACTATAAATACAGTAAATACTATAAATACAGTAAATACTATAAATACTATAAATACAGTAAATACTATAAATACAGTAAATACTATAAATACTATAAATACAGTTAATATTATAAATACAGTAAATACAGTAAATACTGTAAATACAGTAAATATTATAAATACAGTAAATATTATAAATACTGTAAATACAGTAAATACAGTAAATATAGTAAATACTATAAATACTATAAATACAGTAAATATTATAAATACAGTAAATACAGTAAATATAGTAAATACTATAAATACATTAAATATTGTAAATACTATAAATACAGTAAACATAGTAAATACTATAAATACAGTAAAAATAGTAAATATTATAAATACAGTAAATATTGTAAATACTATAACTACAGTAAATATAGTAAATATTATAAATACAGTAAATATTGTAAATAGTCACTGTGGCGCCCCCTGATGTCTCATAAAGACAAACCAGTCAAATTACCTGTTTTTTTTTCTCCACGTTGCTAGGGGCGACCCCAGCCTTCAAACCACCGCCTCCCTCCAGTGGACCAATAGAAAGCACGTTTGACGCCATCAGAGGAGTCATCAACGAAGACGTCGTCAAGACAACACAGGGCATTTATCAGTTCGACCTATCAGGTAACAGTAAAGTTAGATTGTGTCCATATAAGGAGATTCTGTGGGCGTGGCAACAACATGAACGTCTTTATGTCCATATAAGGAGATCACAAAGGCGTTTGGTTCCTGGACTTGAAGAGCGGCGCCGGCAGCGCGGGCCGGGCCAGCCCGTCAAAGCCGACGTCATCATGGCGATGGACTCGAGCGACTTCAGCAAGATGTTTGCAGGTGAGCCGTCACCACGGTAACGCTGGTGTAAAACACAGCCATAGCGATGGATTTAGCGGCGTTGTTTCCGTGGTAACAGCTGTGTGTTGGCGTCCTCAGGGGAGCTGAAGCCGACGATGGCCTTCATGTCGGGAAGCTGCGGATCAAAGGCGACATGACGCTCGCCCTCAAACTGGAGAAACTGATGACCCGCATGAGCAAGGCCAAACTGTGAGACTGAAGCCCCGCCCCCAGACCCACTCAGGCCCCGCCCACCCGCTGTACATGTTGCCTTAATAAAATAATAATGAAATAATAACATTTTAATAAAACCTTAATAAAAAACTGAAAACGTTGTGGTTTCATTCAGAGAACTCTGTTTATATCTCTGATATTATTATACTGAGGACATTCAGCACACAGACCATTATTAACATTAGAATTAATGTTAATATTCATATATAAATATATATGTATATTTTTATATATATATATATATTTATATATATATCTATATATTTATATATAGATATATATAGATGTGTGTGTTGCAGCCAGTCACTCCACCATCTCTCCCTGTTGCGTGTCAACAAGTGTGAAGTGTGTATTTCAGCCTGTGTGTGTGGATCAATAAACTGTCTTATGTGTAAAAGCTGGTGTCACATTTTACACATCAAACAATAAAAACTGTTTAAGTAAAAACCCTCCTGTTTTCTTCTTCTGTGATCTCTTAGTAAAAGGGGGCATTTAATTATCATATTAATATTAATATATATATTATTATTAATATCTATATAAGGACCGTGCATGCCTATAAGTAAGAATACCTGTCAGATAAATGGGAGTGTGATAAATATTCAAGTTCCTCAAAACTAAAACATTTAGTTTCCTTTATTATAATTATAAAATAATATACTATTATTATTATTATTATTATTATTATTATTAGAGTTATGAAGTATCAGAGTATCAGTATCTGTATAAATCTACAAATATCAGTATCTGCTGTCGGACACCATAAAACAATGAGCATGAGTGATTCACTCAGTCTCTCAAACACACCTGCGAGTGCAGCTGCTGAACTTCCGGTTCTCGTTATCCAATCAGAGGCCGGATCCAGGTGTACGGAGGGCTTTTAGTCGCAGCTGTGGCGGCTCCGGCCGTCAGCTTCCAGCCGCTCTTCGGTCGTTCCCCTCGGCAGAGAACAGTGGAGCATGTCGGCGGTTCTCGGACGGATGACGACGACGACGATGATGATGATGGTCTGGGTTTGGATCAGTCTGCTGACTCTAGCCCGGTTCAACACGGCACAGGACCAGCACCGGGACGCCGAGCTCACGGCGCTGCTGGAGGAGACCGGGAGCGGCGGAAGACTTTCTCCGGTGCCAGTGTGGAAGTTCCTGAACGGTAAAAAGATCCACCTGTGATCAATAAAGGAAGTTAAATCCAACATGGAGTTCAGAGTTTGTCCTGATGAAGTGAATGAAGTGATTTAAATAGTTTCACACTCACTTTGTTTTTACTAACTGCTAATTAAACCCTGAAATATAATTAAATAAATGTAACCTTCCTCAACCAGCAGACATAATAAATGTAATTATAATTAAACTGCTGTTAATATTTACATTTATTGTATCATTAATGAAAAAAATCAACTTTTGTTAAAAAATGTCTCTTAGCTTCTCTGAGCCACTAGCTTAGTCCAGCTACGGCCACGCCCCCTGTGGTTCTCTCTGCTGCCTTTAGTGGGCGCTAGCTATCAGAACTGAAGTTGAACTGGATTCCTTCCCATCATGCATCAGCAGTAACTCTTTCTGTTTCAGAGCGCCGTGACGGTGGTGAGGCGTCACATTTCGGCCGGGCGCAGTATCTCTGCAGCGGCAGCTCGCTGTCTGTTCGCTTCTCGCTCATTCGACACACTGATCTGCGCCTGGCAGGTGAGTTTGATTCGTCCACCAGCTGCAGAGATTTTACACACTTGGATTGCCAGAATGAAATATAGAAGTTTAGTTTACTGACTGATTCAGTCTCATTATATAATGTCACACCAGGAGCATCAGCAAGCTTTAGCTCAAACTATAAAACGTTAAAAAGGTTCAAATGAAACCTATTAAACTCTTTACACCGGCACACTGCAGTGGGGGGCGGAGCTACAGAAATCTTCATGTGCTTTAATCAGTCACATTTAATGTTTACTGAAGCTGCCAAATTAAGATTAGCGCATGGTGTTGATTCATGTTTCTAATAAATTTTCCCCACTCAGCGATACACCCGCTGAGGAACCAACTCTGGTTATTGGCAGCTCCATAGTCAGAAACGTGAAGCGGCCATAGTTAAATGTATCCCTGGGGCCAGAGCGGGCGACATTGAATCAAATTTAAAACTGCTGGCTAAAGATAAACATAAATACAGTAAGATTGTTATCCACGTCGGCGGTAACGACACCCGTTTACACCAATCGGAGGTCACTAAGATTAATGTGGAGTCGGTGTGTAATTATGCTAAGACAATGTCGGACTCCGTAGTTTTCTCTGGACCCCTGCCCAATGTGACCAGTGATGACATGTATAGCCGCATGTCGTCATTCCACCGCTGGCTGTCGAGGTGGTGTCCAGCAAACGATGTGGGCTTCATTGATAACTGGAAGCCTTTTTGGGGAAAACCTGGTCTGATTAGGAGAGACGGCATCCATCCCACTTTGGATGGAGCGGCTCTCTTATCTAGCAATATGGCGAAGTTTATCTCTAAAACCTGACAGTCCAGAGTTAGGACCAGGAAGCAGAGCTGCTGTCTTACACACTTCTCTGCTCTTTCTTTAGAACAGTCACCCACCCAAAACCCCATAGAGACTGTGTCTGTCCCCCGACCACCTAAATTATTTAAAGAAATAAAAACAAGAGGAGTTCAACATAAAAACCTAATAAAAATTAAAACCAACTCCTCAGTAGCACAAAATAAGAGAATGAAATGTGGGCTGTTAAATATCAGGTCTCTGTCCTCTAAAGCTGTTTTAGTGAATGAATTAATATCAGATTATGATATTGATTTACTTTGTCTTACTGAGACCTGGTTGTCCCACGAGGAGTATGTTAGCCTAAATGAATCCACCCCCCAGTCATATTAATACTCTCATTCCTCGAGGCACTGGCCGAGGAGGTGGAGTGGCAGCCATATATGATTCGAGCGTTTTAATGGACCCTAAACCTAAACTAAATTATAATTCATTTGAAAGCCTTGTTCTTAGTCTTTCTCACCCAAACTGGAAAACACTGCAGCCAGTTCTATTTGTTACAGTGTACCGCGCTCCTGGACCGTACTCTGATTTTATATCTGAATTCTCAGAGTTTCTATCAAGTATAGTCCTTAAATCAGATAAAGTAATTATTGTAGGTGATTTTAATATTCATGTGAATGTTAACAATGACAGCCTTAGTAATGCATTTATATCATTAATAGACTCAATTGGCTTCTGTCAGAGTGTAAATAAACCAACTCATTGTTTTAATCACACTCTTGACCTTGTTCTATCATATGGCATTGATATTGAACATTTTATAGTCTTCCCACATAATCCTTTCCTATCTGACCATTATTTAATAACTTTTGAATTCATACTATTAGATTATAAGCCATTAGGCAAAACTTCTGTCGTGGAAATTCTTCCCAAAGTTGAGAGGTGCTAAGTCTCTGAAGAACTTTCAAGCCGGTGTGATAATCAAGTCACTTTACTTCATGCTGCATGGAGAGAAGGTCACGTCATGGATGTTCTCTCCCGACTTCCAAAATGCTCTCCCTTATATACATTTCAGTGCATCTCATTACATCACAAACAATGAAACCCCCTGTGTGTCTTGCAAATGTTACTCCTGTAAATCCAGGTCTCTCTCACCAAATGGTCCTTTGATGTGTGACTTCCCCCTGGCTCTTCCTATCATAAACTCAACCTTTTGACCAGGGGCACATCTATTTTATTACCCCCAAATCCTGTTTCTCTCCCACACTTCCTACAGCAGATGTCTATCTGACAGTGCTGTAGCTAAATTTAAGGAGGAGATTCCTTCAGTGTTTAATTCAATGCCATGTCTGAATTTAAGAGTCCTATAACGACTTTAGTCCCTCTGAAATTGATAATCTTGTCGATAGTGCTACAGGCTCACTACGATCAACATTAGATTCTATCGCTCCTATAAAAAGGAAATTATTAAACCATAGGAGACTAGCACCTTGGTATAACCACCAAACCCGCCAGTTAAAACAAATAGCTAGACAATCTGAAAGGAAATGGCGCTCTTCCAAATTATCAGAATATCGCTCAAATTGGCAAGATAATCTTAAAACCTATAGAAAGGCCCTCCGTAATGCCAGAGGAGCCTATTACTCAGCACTAATAGAAGAAAATAAGAACAACCCTAGGTTCCTCTTCAGCACTGTAGCCAGGCTGACAGAGAGTCACAGCTCTATTGAGCCACATATCCCCATAAACTTAAGTAGCAATGACTTCATGAGCTTCTTCTATAATAAAATTATTACTATTAGAGAGAAAATTAATCACCAACTGCCATCAACAGTTATCAGTGGCTCTCCAAGTTCAGGGACTTTTGCTAACGTAAACTCAGATATATATTTAGACTGTTTTTCTGCTATCGATCTTCATCAGTTAACTTCAATCATTTCTTCATCGAAGCCATCAACCTGTCTATTTAACAGGCAGTGTTTCCTTGCCCTTGTCTCAAAGGTCTTGCTCATGGTGGTACTGTTGGGTCTCTGTAAATGTTATAAGGAGTTCGGTCTAGACCTGCTCTATTTGAAAAGTGTCCTGAGATAACTTCTGTTCTGAATTGGCGCTATTCAAATAAAATTGAATTAAGTTTTCTAAGACTTTTTTTTTTTACTTCCAGTAAAAGCAGGGTCCCCAATAGAAGCCTGTCTCCATTAAAAGCTGGCTGTGGCTCCACGTTCTGACAAAACAAGTTTAACATTTATTCAGATGCTGCAAACAAGAGAGCAGATTGTAAAGTCTGTACAGTCCGTTCCTCCATTATTTATTCAGGGTCCACCCATCAGAACAAAGTGTTTCATTAAATAAATCTGAGTTGTGAATATGATGTCTGTTTGCCTTTAATCAGCTGAATATAACAATCATTGTGTTCGGTACCTTTTTAGAATGACTTTTTTTTATCTACAGAGGAAGCAGGTCCTCTTCCGGTGGAGTCCGCCATGTTTGTACAGTAGCCCAGAGTGGACAAAAACACTGGATCTAGAGCGACTTTCATGTTTTTCACAAGTTCTGCAACCAGTTTCTCTTCCACAGCCCGATCTCATTCCCAGGTTATCAAACGCTCTAAATCCCACACTGGTCCTTTTAGGTTAATCTTAATTAATGGGTGATGGGTTACTATCTTTTTATTTTGTCCTATCGTCTTTCCACAGACGGGAGGAGGTTGTTGACAGATGGATGTCAAGGTTCTGTTCGTAACCTCGGGCCGTGGATGCTGCTGACGCTGCCTTATACCAGCTGCCACTTGGCATTATGGGTAGGAACATTTAAAAAAAAAAAAAAATAAATAAAAATAAATAGATATATAGAGATAGAGATATATATATATATAGATAGATAGATAGATAGATAGATAGATAGAGATATATATCTATATAGAGATATATAGATAGATAGATATAATCTATATAGAGATATAGATATAGATATATAGAGAGATAGATAGATAGAGAGATAGATCTATCTATATCTATATAGATATTAGATTATCTATCTATCTGATTTTCATTATCACCCTAAATACCAAATGTTCATAATTTCTACTCCCCTTTTTTAATTTTGATTTAGCGATAAACTGTCTGATTACTTTGCTTCTGATATAGTCTGCTTAAAGATAAGAGCTAGAATGAGTTAAATATTGACTTTTCCCCCTGGTGACGGTTGTGTTTTTTTCACTCTCCAGGTTTCAAATGGAACCTGGTTTCGTCAGCTGAGACTTCGTTACTTTGACCATCTGCTGCAGGCAAACGTAACTGGTCTGGCCACCTGTGAGAATCCTGCAACATCCCTGCAACTGATGCCACCGTTGGTGACTTGCAGAACAACAGATGTCACTGTGAAACTGCCTCTTGGAACGTCGGGGCGCCCGTGGTGGTGGTCGCCGTGGGGGTCGTCGTCGGGGCATCAGACGTGTCAGCCAGTGGTGGGGCGCCCGTGGTGGTGGTCGTCGTCGTGGCGCCCGTGGTGCTGCTGGTGGTGGTCGTCGTCGCCGGGGCGCCCGTGGTGCTGCTGGTGGTCGTTGTCGTCATTGGGGCGCAAGTGGTGGGGGTGGTGGTGGTCGTCGTCGTCGGGGCGCAAGTGGTGGTGGTCGTCGTCGCGCAAGTGGTGGTGGTGCTGCTGGTACTGGTGGTAGTCGTCGGGGCACCAGGGGTGTCGATTCCGGTATACGGCCCTTCAGAAATTTCATCAAATCCCCACAACTCAAAGATTTCTGTGTCAGCATCAGTCACTTCGTCATTCCGGAACCCACTGGGCTCCGTCGGTTCCTGGATGACGGGCTCCACTAGAACTTGCTCAAAGTCCCAAAGCTCCCACAGGTTGGGGTTTTGGAGAGCTCTTGGGAGTCGATCCCGCCTAGTTTGTGTTGCTGCAGTGGAACAAGCTGCCAGCATCGTGGATGTTTTCCCAGCAGAGTCTAAATAAATCACTTCAAAGATTGAATCCCAGGGCACCCGGCGCACCCAGGACACCCAGGGCACCCAGCGCACCCGGGACACCCCGCGCACCCGGGGCACCCGGGACACCCGGGACACGGACGCCCCGAGCGCCTACAACGGGCGCCCTGCTGACTACCACCACCATGGGTGGCCCCCAGCGCCCCAGGCGTCCCGATGACGACCACCACCACGGGCGCCCCACCACTGCCTGACACGCCTGACCCACCCATTCACCCCCTCACGTGTGTGTGTGTGTGTGTGTGTGTGTGTGTGTGTGTGTGATAATAAACCAAAGCATTACTAAATCCGTCTATTCCCTTTTTTCCTAACTTGTAAAGATTTGTTTGACTTGAGACTATTGAGATGCGCCTGTAGATTTAAATTAGAATATCATGGTAAAGTTCATTTCTTTCAGTAGTCCAATTCAAAAAGGGAAACTCGTATAGATTCATTACACACAGTGAAACATTTCAGGCCTTTATTTCTTTTAATTTTGACTATGGCTTACAGCTAACAAACCCAAAATTCAGTATCTCAGAAAATTTTAATATTAGTACTAGTTCAATATTGTTGACTCACAATGTTACACTCTAATCAGTTAATTAAGTCAACACCTGCAAAGGTTTCCTGAGCCTTTAAATGGTCTGGTTCAGTAGGTTACACAATCATGGGGAAGACTGCTGGCTTGACGGTTGTCCAGAAGACAGTCATTGCCACCCACAAGGAGGGAAAGCCACAGAAGGTCATTGCTAAAGAAGCTTGCTGTTCAGAGTGCTGTATCCAAGCATATTCATAGAAAGTTGAGTGGCAGGAAAAAGTGTGGTAGAAAAAGGTACACAAGCAGCAGGGATAACCGCAGCCTTGAGAGGATTGTGAAGCAACGACCATTCAATAATTTGGGTGAGATTCACAAGGAGTAGACTGAGGCTGAGTCAGTGCATCAACAGCCACCACACACAGATGTATCCAGGACATGGGCTACAACTGTCAGAAGCGTCTTACCTGGGCTAAGGAGAAAAAGGACTGGACTGTTGCTCAGTGGTCCAAAGTCCCCTTTTCAGATGAAAGTGAAGTTTGCATTTCATTTGGGAATCGAGGTCTTCCTCCAAAGTCTGGAGGAAGAGTGGAAAGGCACAGAATCCAAGTTGCTTTTAGTCCAGTGTGAAGTTTCCACAGTCAGTGATGATTTGGGGATCTGCTGGTGTTGGTCCCCTGTGTTTTATCAAGTCCAAAGTCAACGCAGCCAAATGTCTACCAGGACATTTTGGAGCACTTCATGCTTCCTTCTGCTGACAGGCTTTATGGAGATGCTGATTTCATTTCCCAGCAGGACTTGGCACCTGCCCACTCTGCCAAAGGTACCAATACCTGGTTTAATGACCATGGTTTTACTGTGCTTGATTGGCCAGCAATCTCACCTGACCTGAACCCCATAGAGCATCTATGGGCTATTGTCAAGAGGAAGGTGAGAGACACCAGACCCAACAATGCAGACGAACTGAAGGCCGCTATCAAAGCAACCTGGACTTCCATAACACCTCGGCAGTGCCACAGGCTGATTGCCTCCATGCCACGCTGCATTGATGCAATAATTCATGGAAGATTAGCCCCGACCAAGTATTGAGTGCATATATGAACATACTTTTGAATAAGCAGACATTTCTGTGTTAAAATGTATTGGTCTTATGAAATATTCTAATTTTCTAAGATACTGAATTTTGGGTTTGTTAGCTGTAAGCCACAATCATAAAACTTGAAAGAAATAAAGACTTGAAATATTTCACTCTGTGTGTAATGAATCTATATAATGAGTTTCACTTTTTGAATTGAATTTCTGAAATAAATGAACTTTGTCATGATATTCTAATTTATTGAAATGCACCTGTACATTCATTAATTTCTGATAATTAATCAGACATATTGTGACAGAAACTTTTATTTTATTGTGTAATCTGCTATAGTGATTTAACTCCTAGCTTTAAACTGGAAACTGGAACCCATGTTTTAGGACGTCTATCAGTAGAAAACGGCATCAACAGGATTCTCTTATTGTAAGGTAGAAAATGTCCATAATGGGCTTTTAAAAAGAACTTGAACAACCAATGAGAGCGCTCCAAACTAATCTCTGCCTAAAGGAATATAAACAGTTCCCACAACATCAGGGGTTGCTCCTCTGTTTAAAGTGGATAAACGAAGTTATAATGCATTGAAATACAACTGTGTGCTTCAGAGTTGTATCTGAACGTCAGTGAATAATGGTCGAGTAAGGTCCGATCACAGACTCAAACTGCCTAGCTTAGCAATTCAGACTAATCTTTAGCTAAATGACATTATATAGAACAACCTTCCTCCTCCCATGTGCTCCGCTACATCAGGCGGATAGAAGTGATGGATGCCTCCTGAAAGATTAAGATTTAATAGGAGCCATTAATTAATAATTGTATTATATTAGGTTAGTGATGGTTCATATTTCTTGGTGAATGTGATGAGTTGGTGTTTCTGATATATTTTCATTATTTTGTCTGTGTGACTGAATGCTGAGTCACATGGATGTGAGCGGAGCCACTGAGCACCTGTCCACCTGTGAGTGTGATGAGTTTATTCACTGTGAATAATTATGAGTTCACGCTCCTTACTCTAGTTTGTATCTTATAAAATTATTAAATGCATTATTTCCTATCTAAGATCACAAATCTAAGTTCTGATCTGTGACTTCAGGTTTCACCCACGACCAGGACACATTGTGTTACTTTGTTTTTAAATGTTTGTCTCCTTCAGTTGAAAATGACCAAAGACAAGCAATCGTGACGTTGTGCCAGCCTATTTCCTGCCTAGCAACGAGGAGCCAATCGTGACTAGTGAGAGGAATCAACCAATCAGGAGCAGCAGCTCTCTGGTTGTCCTGTTTTCGTGTTGCTTCGAGCTAATTTTAATTAAATTAAACTAACATGAACTTTTAGTGGGTTTATCTGGATGTCTTAAGGGTCTGAACCACTGACGGTGTAGTATATAGTGCCGTGCACTTATACTGTCACGATGATGTTAGTGAAGTGTAGGCGGAGGGATACTAGGTTGTGATGTGTCTAGTTCCCGGGCTACCGGAGTGAGTGTAATGCAGGCAACGTGTGGGCAATAAAGCGACACTGTTGGAGTTAAAGACAAGCCTACGGATGTCCATTATGTATGTCGAGTCACCCGGCCATGAAGAACTATAACATGGTGTCAGAAGTTGGTCCAGTTCGTCAGTTTGCCGAAGTCGAAAAACACCAGAGTTTTGCTAGCTAAAAGTTGTGCTAGTGGTAGCGTCCCTAAAAAAGTAGACGCACGGAGACCTGCAACGACAGGAGACGGTATGATGGAGCAGTTCAAACTACCATCGCCACTGGTGTTGACAGGCAACTTGGGAGAAAACTGGAGAAGATGGGAACAGCGCTTCCAAATCTACATGACCGCGAGTGGTGCAGAGGGTAAGGATGAAAAGATCAAAGTTTCCATCTTACTGCACGCACTAGGAGAGGAGGCTCTCGAAGTGTATAACACACTTAACCTTCCAGAAGAAAAGACTGTGAAAGATGTTCTCACAGCTTTTGAAGCATATTGTCTGCCCAAGAAGAATACAGTGTTTGAAAGGCACCAATTTTGGGCGCACCCTATGACAGCCTCTGTCTCCATTGATAAATATGTGACGGAGCTCAGACAAAAAAGTAAGGACTGTGAATTTGGCGTCTCGGAAAACGACATGATCAGAGACAAGATTGTGTTCAGTATGAATGACCAGCGTCTTAAAGAGAGACTTTTAAGAGAGCCAAATCTTACATTAGAAAAGGCCATAGACACTTGCCGTGCTGCTGAGATCGCCAGAGCTCAAATAGAAGCAATGAGCGCAGCCACTCAAGAGAGATCTGTACATACAGTGCATAAGAAAAAACAGGACAGTCAACCACGCAATAAAGGACCAAAGCAACCTTTTCAACACACACAAAGCAGTGGACATGTAAACACATGCAGAAAATGTGGAAAATCACACCAGCCCAAACAATGCCCAGCATATGGAGTTTCCTGCCACAAGTGTGGTAAACAGAACCACTATGCAAAGATGTGTGGGTCAGGTAAAGCACAGCATAGAAGGACAGTGCATGATATCAGTCCAGAAATTGACACTCTGTTTATTGGAACAGTGAACATTGACCAGCTCGACTCCAGCCTTGACAAGTCCTGGTACTCTGAAGTACAGGTTGACAACATGTCCGTAAGGTTCAAATTGGATACAGGAGCAGAGGCCAATGTCCTACCACTGAGGATGTTTAAGTCCATGAAAAGGAAGGCCAGACGAGAAAGGAGAGCACACCTGCAACTACAGCCCACAAAAACAGTGCTGGTGGCTTATGGAGGGATGAGGCTGAGGCCAGAGGGGTTACTCACACTCAAGTGCTCTACACCCAAAGCTCATGCAAGTCTGCCGTTTTACATATCGAGACACTCATCCACACCTATCCTAGGGGGAGATGCTTGTGTAGACTTGCACCTGGTAAAAAGGCTGGACATCGACAAACTGGATGTGAAACATCCAACTACGAAGGAGGAGCTGATAGCTCCACACCCAACAGTCTTTGAAGGTCTGGGGGAGTTTGCCGGAGAATATCACATCCACACAAACCCCAAGGCTACGCCAGTCATACATGGCTGCAGAAAAATACCACTGGCCGTGATGGATAAACTCAGAGACACTCTTGATGACCTGTTACAAGCAGATGTGATTGCACAGGTGACGGAGCCAACACCATGGGTAACTAGCCTTGTAATCACAGAAAAGAAAGATAAGAAGAAATTGAGGGTTTGCTTGGACCCCACTGATTTAAACAAAGCAATACTAAGACAGCACTACTCCATCCGCACAACAGATGAAGTTTTGTGCAAACTTGCTGGTAAGAAGATATTCACAGTGCTGGATGAGAAGGACGGCTACTGGCAAGTAAAGCTTGACAAGGAGTCATCGCTTGCTCATGGTGGTACTGTTGGGTCTCTGTAATTAATGTTAAAGAGTTCGGTCTAGACCTGCTCTATTTGAAAAGTGTCCTGAGATAACTTCTGTTATGAATTGGCGCTATACAAATAAAATTGAATTGAATTGAATTGAATCGCTGCTGTGCACATTTAACACACCGTGGGGAAGATATAGGTTCAAACGTTTGCCGTTTGGAATCAAGTCAGCAAGTGAGGTTTTTCAGCAGCGCAATTGTGAAGCGTTCGGTGACATACAAGGAGTACACATCATAGCTGACGATATGATCATCGCGGCAGCTACAGAAAAAGAACATGATGAGATAATACAGAAAGTGATGACCAGAGCGGTGTGAAAAGCAGACGAGGCAAAAGTTAAAGCCATAGCTGAGATGCCTC